CTCTGTTGCTGATCTTTTGTAGCCGGCCATCTGATCTTGAGTATTGAGCGAAGACAACTGTTAATAAATATCTGTAGTTTGTTTGAGGTGCTCTTTATGACGCGCAGTGCAAGTCTCTGATCCGTATGGTAAGTAGCACTGAATTCACATTGGAGTTGAAAATCCGGATCTTATCTTCGTTTTGATGCTGAGTGCTATTGACCTCCACACAGACTTGAGAGAAGTGAAAGCTTGTCTTGCTTTTCCGATTCTTGCTTTGATATCCTCGTCAGTTCCGTCTTCCTGTAGTTGAAACGATGCTTCCCAGGTCGGTGGTTAAAGGAGGTTTTTTCCTTCAGGTTCCTTCCATTCATGCAGATTGTTGTCTGTTGTTGTTGTTGCTGTTGGTGGTGTTGCCCAGGAATCTTCATCACCTCTGTTTTCTCTATGTTCACCTGAAGTCCTATCTTTGATGCTTCTTCTATCGCCAACTTGTTTCTTTTCGCTTGCATATCTTCCAGTTTGTAGGAAATCAGACATATATCATCGGCGAAGTCCAGATCCTCCAGGTTTTTTTGTGTGAGTCCATTTTATGCCTGTTTCCTCATTGCTCACTGTTTTCTGTATTATACAATCTACTGCAATCATGAAAATCATTGGCGATAGTAGGCAGCCAGCCAGTCAACTTGTCTTACTCCTGTTCTCACTTCGAAGGATTCCGTGAATTTCCCGTTGTGGATTACTTGGCATGCAGCATTGTCGTACAGCTGTTGGATGAGATGTATAATTGTCGGTGGCACTCCGTAGTAGCGAACTAGTTGCCAAAGCACCTCTCGATCGATGCTGTTGAAGGCCTTTTCAAAGTCGATGAAGTTGAGATAGAGAGGTGACTGCCATTCCAAGCTTTGTTCAATGATGATCCGTGATGTGGCGAACTGATCAATGCATGACTTGTTTCTCCTGAATTCAGCCTGTTCCGGTCGAAGTTTTCCATTCAATACATGTTTGATTCTCTCCAGGATGATGCGGCTTAGTATTTTGCTTGGGATAGACAGGAGCATAATTCCGCACCAGTTGAATTAAGTCTCCTTTATTTGGTAGTTTGAATAGGTATCTTTTCTTCCAATCCTCGGGAACTTTGCCTTCATTCCACACCTTCTCTAGTAAGGGCGTCATCAAGTCCGCTGCTGTCCCTGGGTCCATTTTCAATGTTTCTGCTGGGATTCCATCAGGTCCTGTTGCTTTTCCAGCTTTTAGCATCTTGATTGCCTTCAGGACTTCTGATTTCATCGGAGGGTCGGTGTTCACTGCTAGTTCTGTCTCCGTCGTTGATATTGTTAGACGCGTTGTAGGTGGTGGTCGATTCAGAAGTCTTTTGAAGTGTTCAGCCCAGTGTTTCCTTTGCTTTACTTCTTTGGTGGTTGACTTTCTATTGTCATACTTCACCGGCCTAATTGGTGTCAAACGTTTGCCCGATAGGTACCTAGTTGTTTGGTAGAGTGTTGCGAGATCTGTTTTGCCTGCAGCTTGTTCTGCTTCACTTGCCATGATTTTATAATACTTTCTTCTGTCTTTTATGGCACTCTTCTTTACTCTTTTGTTCAGTGTCTTGTAGCTTGCATTCAAATTAAATTTATGGAGAGGTTATTGCGACATCAATTCCTAACCGTTGAAGGGTCTTGCAGTGAATTCTGAGATGTCTTTCATATATTGTTGGGCGATTTTCGGTGTGTTTCCTCGGCATTCTTTGATTTGGTAGGTTGGCTTGAGGCTATATGTCTTTTGATCAAATTCCGTGGATATTCATTCTTTTGGAAGACGTCTATGAAATATCTTTCTTTAATTCTCCTCAAGGTGGGAGGGGTTTCAGTGAATTCTGGCTGGCCCTCTTGAACAGAGTTTGCATACTGTCTTTTTTGTGTTTTATTGGATTGTTGCCGTTGTAATTGATTATTTGGTTCATGTGAGTTGATTTTCTATAAACTTGAGTTTCTAGTTGCCTTATGGTTGTTCGCTTGGCTAAAACTTCCACATAATGGGATTTTGCTCTCGGAATCCTCTTCTTATGTGAATTTGATGTCGTTGAAGACGTTGTTTATTGAGTTGTGACTTTTATCTAACTCGCTTCTTTTGATGATCACAAATGTGTCGTCTATGTACCGTATGCAAATTTTGTGTTTGATCTTCAGTAGGATTATGTTTTCGAGCCTTTGCATCACTGCTTCTGCAAACAAACCTGATACTGGAGATCCCATGGATGTTCCTTTGACTTGTTCATATATTTGGCCGTTGAGTTGGAAGTACATCGTTTGGCATAGCTTCATGCACTGCATCCAGCTTGTGTGTTGCATTTTTGATTGTTTTGGGAGGTATTCGTTGTTGCTGAACAATTACTCCGTGGTCTGTTTTGCTAGTTTCTGTCCAACTGAGGAATATAATGCTGTGACACTGAAGGACACCATTATTTCTTGATCATCTATTTGAATGCCTTCGATGGTCTGTAGAAATCGGTTAGCTGAATTGATGGAGTGATCGCAGGAATCCGTTAGGTGTTCGAGTTTTCTGTATAATTCTTTGTATAAATTGTATGTTGAAGTTTCTGGGAGTGATACAATCGGTCATAACGAGATATTCGGTTTGTATATTTTTGGTGTGCCGTAGAATCGGGGAAGGACTGCCATCTTTCCACCGGAATTGCTGTTGTGAGTCCCAATGAAAATTGTTTAACAGTGGTTATACTGGAACGTTTCTATGTGTCAGCCATATGTTTATGTCCATCGCTAGTTGTGATCATTGTCAGTTGTGGTGATTGTGTACCCAATTGTTTTCCACTTTTCTAGTCTGTGAATTCCAAAGAAAATCGGAAGGACTCTCAGTGGTATCATCCTCAAGTTGCGTACTCATATATGTATATATTATATTCGTAGCGATGAAGGGAATGCTTCTAAGGCTGTGTTACTATAGCTTTGAGTTTAAGATGATAATGAAGGTATTCCTTATTGGATTATACGGAAACACAGATCAGTTGATGACTAAATAAAACTAAGTAAGTAGACTCAGGGACTTGACATAATTGATAGGATATAGTAGATTTCAATTGAGAATAAAAGAAGGTGAAGTCAAGACCCTGGTCATACGGAGTAGAAGTGTGATAGATTCAAAAAGAAAAATAATAATAATCTACTATATTCCTAAAATAGTACTTATAATACAGAATGGAATTCTCAGCATTTGTTACAATATTGCATCTGATTTACTCAAAATATATATAAAATTAAAAATTAAAGGAACTTGTCCACGTTTTAAACATAAAGTCAAAAGTATTCGTAGGGCGAATTGAGAATATTATTAATAATAATAATAACAGTGAGTTTGTTTCAAACAGCACTGTCGATTCAGTTAATATTGTAAATAAAGTTAGTTATTTCAGCGAGTTCATTAGTAATTAGACTATAAGATAAGTAAGAAATTACTGCATAACAAAACCAGAAACAATGGAGGCTCATTCCTCATTACAGATTTTCTTCGAACAGAGTACTATCATTCTAATTTTGCCATATTCTCAATAACTCATGAGTGTCATTTCAGAGGTGGAGGAATGTGAACAACTGAAATGTGTTACTTATTGTCAGAATACGAAATAACCTCACAGTGTACAATTCTCCCATCGTGATTTTACGACAGCGTGTGCGAATAGTTTGTTTTAATTCAAGGAACGGATGTGGCAATGGATGCGGACACCTGGACAAACTAAAAACTATCAACAGTACCGACAATGTACAGATGTACTTGCATACAAAAATTGCATTAATATGGATGATATGTCATTATGATTGCACAAGGTGGTGAAATTGTCTACAGCATACGATTTTGTTCAAACCAATTGAGACGATTAAATTCACTCATGGGGCGTTATAAGTGTGCACAAAAACTGTTCCTAACAAATAATACAGATAGATATTTACTTTGGTTGAGGACTCGGTCGCCAGGAATGTGAAGTGGGAATAACGTTTTAACAAGATTTAACAAATATAACAACGTCGTCATATTGTCTATCATGAAAACAGTTATAGTTACAAACTAGAAACACGTGAAGATCATTTTTGAAATCGCATTCTAAAGCAGTGAAATGAAATTAATGATATTGAGAATTCTTGACTTTACAACAGAAGTCAGCGTATACAACTACTTGTTTATTTATTCAGGTATCATCAAAAGTAGAAAATGATACAACATCGGCTACCTGTATTCTTGCTTCCTTGGTGTAATCAAATAAACTGGCGAATACCATGAATAGTCCCAGAAAATTGAACAATTCAATGTAGGTTATAAATATCTTCCGTCCTACTATTTCTTCTTTGGAATACTTTAACCACACTGTTATGAAGTATATTGTCTGCGAATATCATAAAACAAATTGCACAGATTCGGAGTGAATATGAGGAATAAACATTTGGTCTGTTTTAATAAATGCAATCTCAATGCATCTTTGAATGATGAGGCCTACACAAGCTCATTAGTGCACGGTTTCTCATGATAATGAAATATCGAAATTAAACATCACCTGATATGCCTCATCAACAGTTACACCAACTGAGAAGTATCCTGCTGAGAACAAGTATTCACAAATAAACAGACATCACGAAAATTATGAAGACTACACTGTTTTCACAAATTTAAAGTAATATCAACCATTCCGCAAGATGTCCGTCACCAACATTGCTGTTTGATTTCAATTTATTTCTTCAAGCATCTCCACAGTCAGGTTGCGTTTCCTCTCCACTGACCTTCCTAATGACACACGCACACACATTTTCTATGTTTCTTTGAAGACATACATCAGCGCACTACTTATATCGAAATCTAATTAGCACAAAGGACAATCCAGCTACAAATGTGGAGATCAGCTGAGTTAATATGGTCAACTGACAATGATCAGAACTATCAATGAGGATAATCACATAGATTACACATTGAAAAGTGTCAATACAACATCCTCAGGCAGTATATTTGGAACTCACGAGCATTACTCCACAACCAAGGAATAAGGCACCCAGTAGATTGTATAGAAACCCAAACTGGAAAGGAAACCAAATAAGAATTAGTATGAAAATTTATTAATCCTTGGTTAGATACAAATGGCATAAGGGAACTGTTTCGATTTGTAACTGAAATTATCCTTCGAAACTGAGATTCGAAGAAATGCCTGATTCCAACAAACAGTTAGTTAGTTTGGATTTAGTAGCTAACAGAGATCGTTCGTCAAGTATTCCACGAAATGGGGAAAATAACTTCCCTTATTCTAATCACAGACTATAATATATTCAGTTGAACGTTAGAAGTAAACTTTAGTTTGCAAAGTGAACTCAGAGAGGGTTTGATTTCTACCAAGTAAAATATCATACATTATTGTTTATATTCTAAAATGGTGAAGCATTCAGTATATTTTCAAAATGCAAGGGGTCGCTAGAGGATTCGATATTCACTAATTATGCAATTGGCGTGAACTCGTCAATATGCATTACGCAAATAGTAGCAACACAATACTTGGCCAATTGCAAACTTTCCAGGTATATTTTCATACATGCCTATATACACTAGGAAAATGTGGGGTAAAATTCGCAGTTCACATTAAACACTCACATGGTAGTAATCAGATATAATGCAGAAGATGCATCCTACGATACAGAATACCGCAAGCATTCCAAAGAACACAGCATATCCCCTTGGTGTAAAATGTTTCGATTTGAATCCGAGAAGTATTGCCACTGAAGCCATGACAGCCGTGATAACGAACGAAATCAAGCTGTTTATTATGCCAGTTTGATAACACAATATACAATCGACGACAGTCCATGAAAGGATCTAGACAACACAATCAAAAACGTCAGTGGTTTACATAAAAACTAGCTAGATGGTTACTTGTTATTCATAAATATTCGACACTTTTGCTTTGTGTGTTCATGTTACATCGATAGCAGTCATTCACATTATGACATTTCATTACTCAAAGGATTTCTGAAGTCAGCGCATATTTGTTGGGAAATGTGATATGCTAGTCATCATTGTAGTTGCATTCACTGAATAAATCAGAGTGTTATCAAACTTCAGACCAGTAAGCATCGATGTGATCTGCAACGTACATGAATTTCCGATCATGGCAATCTGTCGATTCGGTGTCAAAATCATGATGCTTTCTGCATCGTCACGCGTTGTCTTCATGACTTTGTAAACAAATATCCACGTGTATGGCTAAATTTCTACAGTGCGTTTCATTTCAGAGGAGAACTTAATGTTGCGGACATTGGTAGGTAGTTTGGAACTATTTGTGATCTGAGAGTTTTTTCCTCTAAATCGATTTCACTTCAAACACTCAAGATGATCCAGTTTTACTGCAGCCAGTCTCTTCATTTCGCCTGATAATGTCTTCAACGTCAACCACTAAGCACCCTGTCTATGTCATCTGGCAAAGAACCACGTAGGAATAGTAATGCCAAGGGTGTGATACACTAAGTCTACTATACACTGATATGTCGAGGAAATAATACCTAAAGGCTTTCTTTGAACCTTCTTTCATGTTGTTAATAAATATCAGTTTCACAGCAATGAGCTGAGTGATGAGTGGTTTACAATTGCAACTGTAAAATCTGTTGATTTCAACTTCCCCTATATGAGATGCATGTTGGCTAAATGAAGGTGTCCAACAACTGAAATCTCCAAATTAACAATGAAAATTACAACTTTATGTGAATTTTCATTTGCTTATCTACAATGAGATACTTTATGGTCGTACGATTTCACACGACGTTATTCAAGGACCCTGCATTTCAGTCTACATTTACAAGAGAATCATTCACGAAACAATTACATCAGTTCATAACTTACTGCCAATGTCATCATAATGATGTAAATTCGGTACTTCAGTCGTAATCTCAGAGTAAGTAGTACGCACAGGTTCATAAGGAAACCAAAGATTCTGAAATGAATAATACAATGTGGCATCAATGAATTCATCAAAATCAATAGCAGATCAGTTTGTGCTCAGGCAGCAACGTCTGGTATAACTCATTGTTCATACATTGTTCACCAATAGGTGAAGTAACACGATCATTGTGATAGGATCCTTCCTTGGACATTTCAACATACATCACAGTCGAAACTTGATCAGAAATATGCTTTAAGAAATAAACATTCTACACATTTCTACTGTAATGAGAAACTTTGTTAATTTCATTTCAACTTGTGATTCCATAGATACTGCGGTACTCAAATACGTCTCATATGCACCATTCTACAAACAGTGAGATTAACTAAAGATTTCCTAGCGAGAAATTAATAACATTGTAGGATATCTTGTTGAATTGAACAAAGTCATGCACTTTCACACTCCTGTCTCACTTACTTCACCGAAATTATAACACATTCAGTCAATGAATATTCGAAGAACCCATAAAGTACATGATAATTACAACCCACTATGACATGAATCACCTCACTGTTTATAAAATAACTTTAATTCAGTTAAGTAGAAGTCAGCCGAAAAAGGTTGTCAGGATGAGAATCCATCTCCGACATTTTGAAACTTGCCATTTCTCCATACTCTTCATGATCAGTTTACTGTCTACTGCTCAACTTATCTGTTGCAAGTCAATCTGAACGAAGAACATTCTTTGCAGTAATTACACTTCAGGTTTTCACAATTATGAAATACAATATTTGTTGTCGTTATAGTAATGGCCAGTTATGTGGCGGATACATTCAATACGTAGAATAACAGATTAGTTATAGGGTGTCAAAATACATAGTGGTATTTGTATGACAAACCTGCAAGTTGGCTGAAATCGATTACAAAATATTTCGATGAAATGGGGGAGAATGGTGTTGATTAGTCATAAGAGATTTGTAGAGTGTGAGGTAGGAAAATTGACTAGTCAGTTCAAGATTATTAGAAGGTGTCAGGTGAGTGAGTGGCTAGCACAAAGTAGTATGTATTAAAGAGGGGATAGTAAGATTGCAATGAGAGGTTCATAATGAAATAACGAATGTGTGAAATGCAACAGGTGGAAGCATATATTGAGAAAGGATATAATATCACTAATAATAAGTCCGGATGGTATAAATGGAAAATTCGATAGTATTGAGAGAATGTTTGTATGAATGGCATGAATTATGATGAATAATAATAACAATAATAATAATTGTAATAATAAGCAAAGAAAGAAAGAAAACCAAGAGGGTTGAACGGAAGATGCACTGTTGGTGAGAATAATATCGACTGAACCAGACCTTTGTATCCAAAAAACCGGTCCAGACGCTGTTCCAACCGTAGACAAACTTGGACTGATATTGTTTTTACAAACAATATAGTTTTGTTTTTCATTCATTGGGAAATACAAAACCCTTTATTATAGTGAATATCATATCACAGTGCCCAATTATTTTTCAAACTGTTAAAAGTGAACTTGGTTTGGACATATATATAAATCATCACCATTGTGTCCCATTTCACCGAAATATTTTGCAATCGACTTCAGCCAAATTGCACGTTTGTCATACAAATACGACTATATATTTTGACACCCTATAACTAATCTGTTATTCTACGTAGAAAATGTCTCCGCCGCATAACTAGCCATTATTGTAACAACAACAAATATTATATTTCATAATTGTGAGAACCTGAAGAGTAATTATTGAAAAGAATATTTTTCGTTCAAATTTACTTTAATTCATGATATGGGAATGTTTCACACCGTATTAAATCTTATCTGTTGGAATTGAGCAGTTTAATTTTGAAAAGTAGATGGAAATATATATACACGTACTTACCCAAGGAAAACCTTCACAAGCAGAATAGACAATGGCTCTGCTTTTCTTTCATTACTGACTTTACTGAAATCGAAATGGATTAGCTGAAATGTTATCTCACTTGACAGTCTCCATTGCGTCGCCAGCTGTGAACCACATCATTAGCTTGTAATTCCTGGCTCCTTTGTAAATCTGAAAATGATTGACATAATTATTCATCATTGCACACCACAAAGAACATGAACACGCGAGACACTAAATAATGTACTATACGAATGAGTCTACAGATTATCGTAAAACAACTTTGAGAGAATCATTACTGTGAGCTACACATGTATGCTCATTTACATGTGGATAAGGTGGAATTCATTATTTGGTCCGCGGATCACTCTTCAAATCTCATATACAAATATGAGCATGTGACTCAACAAGTAAATTGTCTCCCACTAGTTTCACACGACGCATCAGGCCCTGGAGTGGAAAGGGGATGGGCGTTGGATGTTAGAGGGTTAAATAAAGATGGTGTGAGTAGGAGATAAAAGCCAATGGGAAACCGTGGAGCCAACGGAAGAAGACTGGAGAAAACAAGATGAAATGCAATTATCCTATTGAGGCCTTATATTCCACTTCGAACTTCAGAGAATAATAATAATATAGTTACTATCCGAATATTACAAATAAATTTTCATTTATAACATCAAAACCAATGGTATTCGTACACATCGGTCAATTACATCGGTTTACGTAAGAGAGAAGCTGATAAACTCACAGTCTCCTATTCCAATATACTGCTCAAGTATTCACACATGTGACATTTATATAATTGTTGGGAGACCACGTCAATAAACACTCTGATAACACTGAATGAGATACTCCAAAATGATCTTTATTCATGTACATTCCTGCTGCAAAACATCAATGTAAACAAACCAATTTTTAATTTGAACATTATTCCAATGTTCTCCATGATAATGTTTTCAATGTTTATGCAACGTGTGTAAGTGTTTAAGAGCATTACAACGGGGTGCAAAATAACATATTTTTCAGTCAACATGATCCTTGCTACTTCTGATAATCATAATCATACTCAAGTGAAGTATCACTCTACATATGTATTAGTAACAAGGCGCCTACTGTAGTCCATTCACGCATGACGTTTCATTATGAAAGTATTAAGGAAACAGATTTCTTTCTTTTGCATAGATTTTCATTTTCAAAACATGATTCTCTTGTTCATCTGATCAGAATGGATATAAAGTGAATGTTTCAC